TTCTTCTTGTTTCTTTTCTTTTTCCTCCAACAACTGCTGTAATCTCTTCTTCTTGTTTCTTTTCTTTTTCCTCCAACAACTGCTGTAATCTCTCTTCTTGTTTATTTTTCTGTTCGAACTGCCACTGTTGCAGGTTTTTTGCAACTGTAGTTGTCTCTCTTCTTGTTTCTTTTGTCGTTCTTCTTGTTTCTTTTGCTGTTCTTGTATTGTTGCCATCAAATCTGCTAAGCTGTAGTTTGATTTGCCACTTCTTTTTCTTTCTTTTTTTTAATCCCACTTCTGACACCAATTTGTTATGTCTCTGTTCGTTTGTTAATTTTCCGTAAAAATTCTTTCTGAAGAGCTTCAGCGATACAAGTCCTTTCTTAAATAAACTAGTTTACTCTTTCTCAATACAACTTTGCAATACACAGAATTTCCACAGTCACATTAACTTAAACACTTGCTATAATTCACAACGATTCACGCACCTTATTTATGGTCACTACCGCTCACTTGACTCAATTATCTCTCTCTATATCTCTGTTTAATCTGCTCTTATTTCTCCGCTTTATTTGTCGGGCTTATATAATAAAATACAGGGCGCCTAGAAAAGACTAGAGTTGCCAGGAACAGTCATGATCCTTCTAGAAACTCCAGCGTGCATGCTTTCGCTGTCGTAACATAGTATTCTGTCTTGGATAACTAAAAGCATTATCGAATGTTCGGTGGAGATTACTCGTTATACACAAATCAGTGAAGCATCAGTCGTGTTACCTGCAACGCGAGAGTGTGAAGTTAAAATAAAACGTACTTCTAGATGATACCCATCAACATCTTCATTTCTATCTGATGTTACAAAATACCTGTTCATAGGAAATTACTCTATTTACTCGTGAACAAAAACCACTATATAACACAACGGTATTTTGTGATGGACTGTGCAGATACTAGTATCATCTTGTGTGTGTAAAAGAAGAATTTGATGGATAAAATATGATGGATGACCTGCTGAGCTATATGATTGGTACCACTTGAAAGCTCAAAGTGTCTGCTAGGTATTGATATAAGAGTTGTGGTGAAGTCATCTTTGATAATTTAATTCGTGGTCATACATATATTACTTCATTATTTAATTTAACTGGTAACTTCAAAAGTAATTTTCGATATGACAGACGGATTACTTCACAATACTGTTACGACAGCGGAGGTCACGTGACTCTGTTAACACTTGATAAGTGTCTAGAAAGTTCATGAAGAGGCGAGTGCATTCTAGACGCCCTCTATTCTTGTATATAAGCGCGGCAAATAAATCGAGATAATTAATTGGATAGCAGACAAGTCGTAAGTAAAGTGCGTAAGTCGTTGTGAATTATAGCGTGTGTTGAAGTAAAAGTGACTGTGGAAATTAAATGTATTGCAAAGTTGTATTGAAAAAAAATAAACTAGTTTTATTTAAGAAAGGACTTGTATCGCTGAAGTTCTTGAATAAGAATTTATACCGGAAATTAAGAAACGACCAGAGACGTAACAATACGTTTTGAAGTTTGTATTCATATAGGAAATTTTGTGGAGATAGCCGTCATTGATATTTTATTCGTGTATTAAGTTTAAGCTATTGTGCTGTATTTTACGTACATGATGTTGTCTTAATGATTGTTTTACTAGTTTCATGAATAAAGAAAAATAAATTTTATATTAAAAGTACTTTTGGGTCACTATTTCCCTATAGATTTGTCTGACTGTTTATGAAGAGCAAAGAACTCGGTGGCTATCTGTGGTCCGTTCACCACGGCTAGGCGAACCTCGATTTTTAGCGTGATAAGCTAGAAGTTAACGCTGATCCACATCCAGCAGTTAAAGTAAACTTTATTACTTTGTGACATTATTAATGTATAATGTTTATAGAACTGCAATTTGTTTATTATCTCCGGCAACCAAAACTTTCACTGTTATAATAATTTTCTATGCAGTACCGTAAAATATTTTGAATTTTTGTTCGCTTCCTTCAGTAAATTCAACTCATTACATAAAAAAAATATAATTGCGTAATTTTTCATATGGGGCCACTAACTAACATCTTTAGGGCAGATTCTGGCAAAAATATAAACTATAGCCCCATACTACAATTTCGTTTCAATTAGGACATGATACATCTTCAGTATAAAACACCTACACATTCCCCAAGAAGTGTGAGAGAGGATGTACAGTATGTTCAGTATCATTGTACACTTGACGTTAAGCGCTTTGTATGTGCATATTATACACCCTTAATTTCTTTGCTACAAGCTGATTTTGATGTCTTATACGCCTGATATTCTTCTTTAAACATATTTAAGGTTTGTCGCGGAGCAAAAAAAAAGTCACCAGAGTGTTTTCCTTACCTCAGTCGTTTGGATATGTGCATATAGTATGTGTGTGTGCATATATGCGTATATTATAGGCCCTTATTTTCTTTGCACCACCCTGATTTTAATCTCGTTCAATTTACCTTAGACTCTTCTTTAATAATAGATAAGTTTTTTCGGGGAGCAAATATATCATTAGAGCCGCCACAGCATTTTTCGTACCTTAGTCGTTTTGGGTATATGCATGTAGTATAACCTATATTTCTGCGTATATTATAGGCCTGTTACGACAGCGGAGGTCACGTGACTCTAGTAACACGTTGTTGCGTCAGCGAGTCACGTGACCACTGTGGCGCCCTCTAGTTTCTAGAACTATCTTGTTCTTTCGGGAATGCTCTAGTAATTGCTCGATGTAGGGTGGGCTGGTATATATAAAGGAGGGGAATGTGAGGTGGGTAGATAGATAGTGAGTAATTGAACTGCAGTCACATGGTATTGTTGAAGATAACGTTCGTTCGTTACAGTGTTGTTTTAGCGCGAGTATTGAGATTAAGTGTATCGCAGAGTTATATTCGAAAAGAATAAACCAGTTTTGTTAAGTAAAGACTTGTGTCATTAAAGTTTCGTCGGAACGAAGTTACGGAAAATCAATTAACAAACGGAGACGTAACAACGTCATATCCTCGAAGGTTCGTGAATGCTCGGGCGTTTACTAGATTTCGGTATTCTTTTATATATAAGACGGTCAAGACGTGACGGCAACAAGGTAATGGGTAATTGAACTGCAGACAGAGAGAGACATATTGTTGAGCACGTGAGACGTTCGTTGTGAATTATAGCGTTTGTTATAGCGTGACTGTGGAAATTAAATGTATTGCAAAGTTATATTTAGAAAGAATAAACCAGTTTTATTTAAGAAAGGACTTGTATCGCTAAAATTTTATCGGAAAGAAATTATACGGAAAATTAATTAACGAACGGAGGCGTAACAAATTAGTGTCAGAAGTGGGATAGAAAATAAAAAGAAAAAAAAGAAGAAGAAAAATGGAAACGAGAAGCGGCAAATCAAACTACAGCTCAGCAGATTTTATGGTAGCAATACAAGAACAGCAAAAGAAACAAGAAGAACGAGAAGAGAAACAAGACCAGAAATTACAGCAGTTCTTGGAGGAAAAAGAAAAGAAGCAAGAAGAACAAGAAAAGAAACAAAAGAGAGACTACAGCAGTGGTTGGAGGAGAAAGAAAATAAACAAGAAGAGAAATTACAGCAGTTGTTGGAGGAAAAAGAAAAGAAACAAGGAGAGAGATTACAACAGTTGTTGGTGGAAAAAGAAAAGAATCAAGAAGAACGAGAAAAGAAACAAGAAGAGAGATTACAGCAGTTGTTGGAGGAAAAAGAAAAGAAACAAGAAAAGAGATTACAGCAGTTGTTGGAGGAAAAAGAAAAGAAACAAGAAGAGAAATTACAGCAGTTGTTTGAGGAAAAGAAAAGAAACAAGAAGAGAGATTACAGCAGTGGCAACTGGAACAAGAAGAAGCACAAATGGAAAACATTAGTAAATTTCAAAGCGAATTAAATGCATTAAAGGATGATTTATTGTCTTTTACACAAGGAGGATACATTAACCATCGACCTTATCAGCCCCAGACAATGGCAAGCCCCTTCCACACTCTGCAGTTAAACCCTAATGCAGACATCTTCAGTCCTGTCAGAAGTCACATCCCAGATATGAATGTCAGTAATAGGAGTGATCCAGTATGAAGGAAGCCACAGGAATTCGATGGGAAGGCAACGTGGGAAGCATATAAAGCACAATTTGAGTTCCTGGCAAAGATGAATGGATGGACAGAGGAGCAGAAAGCAGTATATCTAGCAACGAGCTTGAAGGGACAACCACTGGAAATACTTGGACAGTTGTCAGCAGACG